CTGTCGGTCCGTCCATCCGTCCGTCAACATTTGCTTGTTAACTCTCTAAAAACTAGATTTTTTGATGGAATCAAATTAAATTCGGTATGTGTATACATATTCATAAAACGAAGATCAATTTCGAATTGGAGCTATTTTCGACTGTTAGAAGCAGAGTTATTGCCCTTGCCCCAAAATCTTGAATATTTACCATCCGCATGCTGTGGTGGGCGTATATGGCTGTGGTCCACTATCTTTATTCTCTCAATAATTGTTCTCGTTAAAGGGAGAAGCCAGCATTAAAATATAAACAAGTGTTTACTCTTATTTTGACCTTTCTTTCACTCAGTGGAATTCTGCTGGTAATTCTCTTCTGAATTAGCTAATTATGTATTAATTATGGACATGTGAGACAAACTGATATTTTTCCAAGTCATTAGAACAACTCTACTTTCTATTCATATAAGTATTAGCATTTTCATTTTCATAAATGAAAATAAGGGAACCCATCTTTAACCTGCTTTCACCGTTGTATATGATTTATTATGTATCTTTTATTATTATCAGGCTATGGGTAAAGCCAGACAAGATTTAAACTCTAACCCGCTATCACCCGGTGTGGTACCAGAGTTCAGATTATGGGAAGAACAATGGATTAAGTAAGTAAAAGTACTCTTTATAACAGTCATATTAGTATTGAGATCAGCATATTATATATAGCTTTTAAAATGTCAAAATTTTGGCAGATTTTTTGTCTGTGGACTGTAGCACACATGAGCTTGATTGTTTGTCCCATTTGTATGTTCAGACGCTTTTTTCCATGACAGCAGGATTGAGAGTTAAACATCAGACTCCCCCAGTTTGAATTAAAGATGGATTCCCTTATTTTCATTTATGAAAATGCTAATACTTATATGAATAGAAAGTAGAGGTGTTCTAATGACTTGGAAAAATACCAGTTTGTCTCACATATCCATAATTAATTCATAATTAGCTAAATTTGAAGAGAATTAGCTGCAGACTTCCAATGAGTGACCGATCAAGAAAGGTCAAAAAGTATTTTTTTGGTTATCCAGACTGTACATATATAAACATTTATGATTGCTAAAAACTCTTAGTTATATGCGATAGGAAAATAAAGTTTTGATAATGATAATGATAATGATATGGCATGATTAAGAATACATGATAATTCATTAGAAACACCAATTTGTCAAACAGTTTGCTTAATTTGACACTAGAAAAATAAGGAAACCCATCTTTAATGTCAAAAATTATGTTATAACCTTAATAAACGTTTTAAATTTCACACTATTATATTTCAGATGTTCCAAGGAATTAAACCAGTGGAATCATCTATTGGAATATTCCAAATCTAAAGAGAACAATAATCCACATCTGGTTCTAGAATGTGCTTGGAGAGTTCCAGATTGGAATCTAATGAAAACAGCCCATGCCAAGGTTTGTGATTGGTCTTTTTATTTCTAATTTCTGAAAATACAGTAACCTAAAGCAGATGGTTGCTTTAGGCTTCCCAGTTTGCAATACAATTCTGCAAGTCTCATAATGTCCTTTTTATACGCCCACATTATAATATGGTCATATATTGTCCATGCCCCTGTCCGTCCGTGGGTCCGCCAGTCTACAATTGGCTTGTGAACGCAATAGAGACAACAGTGATTTGAATGAAATTCGGTGTGATCATTTACATTCATGAGATCTTGGACAAGTTCGAATTTGGCTATCTTTCGATGAACGGTTTTTGAGTTATTACCCTTGACTTATGAAAAACGCGTCAAAATTTGGCTCTAAACACAATAGATACTACAGTTTACAGTTTTCATCTAATTTAAATGAAATTTGGTGTGAATATTTATAATGATGAGATCTTGGACAAGTTCGAATTTGGCTATCATTCGATAAGCGGTTTTTTGAGTTATTGCCCTTGACTTATGAAAAAGGCTTCAAAATTTGGTTGTGAATAGAGACTACAGTTTTCATCCAATTTCAATGAAATTTGGTGTGAATATTTATAATGATGAGATCTTTGACAAGTTCGAATTTGGCTATCTTTCTATGAACGGTTTTTGAGTTATTGCCCTTGACTTATGAAAAACACGTCAAAATTTGGTTCTGAACACAATAAAGACTACAGTTTTCATCCAATTTAAATGAAATTTGGTATGATCATTTATAATGATGAGATCTTAGTCAATTTTTCGATCAACAGAATTTGAATGACTTAGTAAAAACACATCAAAATTGGTTAGCGATAGAGGTGACAGTTTATGTCAGAATTTTATTAAATAATGTGTATTTGTTTAAATCAACAATATCTTGCACTAATTAGATTTTTGGTATGATTTGACACAGATAGGTGACTGTCCTTGATATACTGAAAATGTATCAGGAAAGTGGGCATATCTTGCTAGCCAACCACTTGTTTCACTCTTAAGGTGTAAATAGTACAATGTACAGTGGAGGAGAATCTATACAGACAAAAGTAGAAGAAGCGAGTCAAGTCTACTGTATCTAAAATCTTGCACTGTATACTGTACTGTATGCAGTACCTCAGCTATTTACAGTATTTGTAGTAATATACTTTGTTTATTAAGGTGGAGTTAACCTGTCCTAAAGATATGATATGGAAAGTGAATCTATACAGAGGTTACATAGCTATCTGTCATCCCGAAGATAACCACATCAATATGGTCATGGTGGGTACATTTTACTTTCGTTTGGGCTTTTGAGCTGGAATATCTCTGCAATTTAGATGCTTGCTCACCAACCAAGCAAACCAAGCAATCCCAATCCTAGACTTGATTCTGGTATGGATAAAGCTATATGTATCACACTTCAAAATTAATTCCTACTTACTGTTCCCCTATGATTAAATTAAGCCATACCATTGTACCTATATTTATTTCCATCTTCTTGTTGATTTCGAATTGTGCTATAATTATGAATAATAACTGTAAACTGTAAATATTTCCCTCCATAAAGATAAGGTTTATATTGAGAGGTTTCAGCGAGAAATTGACAATATTCTCTTTGTATAGATTGAACGTTTGGTAGAGTTTGCCAGTAATTATGCTATTAAAGAATGGAGAAGATTACCTAGTGTTGTTTCTAATATACACATACCATTACTACAAGTAAGTTTTATATACATATGCCATTACTACAAGTAAGTTTTATATACATATACCATTACTAAAGTAAGTTTTATATACATATACCATTACTACAAGTAAGTTTTATATACATATACCATTACTACAAGTTTTATATACATATACCATTACTACAAGTAAGTTTTATATACATATACCATTACTACAAGTAAGTTTTATATACATATACCATGACTACAAGTAAGTTTTATATACATATAGCATTACTGCAAGTTTTATATACATATACCATTACTACAAGTTTTATATACATATACCATTACTACAAGTAAGTTTTATATACATATACCATTACTACAAGTAAGTTATATATACATATACCATTACTAAAGTAAGTTTTATATACACATACCATGACTACAAGTAAGTTTTATATACATATACCATTACTACAAGTAAGTTATATATACATATACCATTACTAAAGTAAGTTTTATATACACATACCATGACTACAAGTAAGTTTTATATACATATACCATGACTACAAGTAAGTTTTATATACATATACCATTACAACAAGTAAGTTTTATATACATATACCATGACTACACGTAGGTTTTATATACATATACCATGACTACAAGTAAGTTTTATATACATATACCATGACTACAAGTAAGTTTTATATACATATACCATTACTACAAGTAAATTTTATATACATATACCATGACTACAAGTAAATTTTATATACATATACCATTGCTACAAGTAAGTTTTATATACATATACCATGACTACAAGTAAGTTTTATATACATATACCATGACTACACGTAGGTTTTATATATATATACCATGACTACAAGTAAGTTTTATATAAATATACCATTACTACAAGTAAGTTTTATATACATATACCATGACTACAAGTAAGTTTTATATACATATACCATGACTACAAGTAAGTTTTATATACATATACCATTACTACAAGTAAGTTTTATATACATATACCATTACTACAAGTAAGTTTTATATACATATACCATTACTACAAGTTTTATATACAAATACCATGACTACAAGTAAATTATATATACATATACCATTACTACAAGTAAGTTTTATATACATATACCATTACTACAAGTAAATTTTATATACATATACCATTACTACAAGTAAGTTTTATATACATATACCATGACTACAAGTAAATTTTATATACATATACCATTACTACAAGTAAATTTTATATACATATACCATTACTACAAGTAAGTTTTATATACATATACCATGACTACAAGTAAGTTTTATATACATATACCTTGACTACAAATAAGTTTTATATACATATACCATGACTACAAGTAAATTTTATATACATATACCATTACTACAAGTAAGTTTTATATACATATACCATTACTACAAGTAAATTTTATATACATATACCATTACTACAAGTAAGTTTTATATACAAATACCATGACTACAAGTAAATTATATATACATATACCATTACTACAAGTAAGTTTTATATACATATACCATTACTACAAGTAAATTTTATATACATATACCATTACTACAAGTAAGTTTTATATACATATATCATTACTACAAGTAAGTTTTATATACAAATACCATGACTACAAGTAAATTATATATACATTTATATACATATACCATTACTACAAGTAAGTTTTATATACAAATATCCAGTAACTTTTATATACATATACCATAACTACAAGTAGGTTTTACCATTACTACAAGTAGGTTTTATTTACACATGCTGCCAGGACAGTGATCAAAATAGTTATATCATTAGCACTAACATCTAAGAGACTTAAAACTTTATTTTAGTTCCATGTCATGTGACTGATTTTAAGTTTGAAAGTATATGTGTAAATTTCTGTGACTTTCAGGCAGCTCAACAGATAATGGAATTGCAGGAAGCAGCACAGATTAATCAGGGTTTACAGCCTGGCAATATAACTCGTAGTTCTAGTGTACATGATATGAAAGCTATAGTCAAAACATGGAAGTAAGTTTTTAACAAGTTCTTTCTGCAAAGTACTGATTAATCTTTAAGCGGTCGCTTGATCGGTGAATTTGGAACGTTCGAAACTCATGGAATCAACGAACAGTCAATAATACAAACTGAAATAGAGTTCAGAACACGTGCCAAAAAAATAGTAGGTGCAGACAAAATCCAATATGGCGGAAAAAGCAATAGAATGGGCAATTTTGAGTGTGATTTATTCTGGTTTTGTAAACTTGTTCAAACTGTTTGTTTGAGGCCAAAATTGGAACAGGCAGAAACTGTTCAGAACTCAACAATCAAGTGCTACCCTATATCACCATAACAGATGTCAATATTGAGAAAACTGACACAATCAGAAGTTGTAAATTAAATCAAGTGAAAATTACAGTGGTAGGTTTTGATGCGAGGGGCTTCTCCATAACTATACGTATATCGAGATCATTCATTTCTTATAAAGGATATGAAAATGACTTTGATACAGTTTTGCCATAGGATATGTAGACAATTCATTTTGTCAATCTTAAGTTTTAAGTTACAAATAATTTTGAAAAATTTGAAACTTTATTAAAGATGTGTTCCCCTTATTTTCATTTATGAAAATGAAAATGCTAATACTTATATGAATAGAAAGTAGTGGTGTTCTAATGACTTGGAAAATACCAGTTTGTCTCACATGTCCATAATTAATTCATAATTAGCTAAATTAGAAGAGAATTACCAACAGAATTCCAATGAGTGACAGATCAAGAAAGGTCAAAAAGTCTTTTTTGTTTATCCAGTCTGTTCATACATGGACATTTATGATTGGTTAAAACTCATTATTATATGCAATAAGAACATAATGATATGATTAAGAATACATGATAATTCATTAAAAACACCAATTAATCAAATAGTTTGCTTATTTTGACAGTAAAAACAAGGAAATCCATCTTTAAAAATCTGACAAAAAATATAATGGTTATTATTGCAGGAATCGATTACCAATGATATCAGATGACATCTCTCATTGGAGTGACATATTTACCTGGCGCCAGCATCATTTCCAGTTTATTAAGAATCATTATGATACCAATCCTACACCAGACACAGTAAGTCTTAAAGTTAAAGCTAATCTGTTCGCCAAAATTCAAATTACTGCAACTCAAAGGAAATATCAGTTCTGTATTGGATATTAAATTGTACTTTAAATTTCTAACCATTGTACAGAGCCCCTAAGACGCAATTTTCCATACTTTTATAAAATAAAAAATGTATTTCGTTTAAACGAAATAAGTTATTTGATTAAATGAAATAAGTAATTCGATTAAACAAAATAAGTAATTTGATTGAACGAAATAAGTTATTTCGTTAAAATGAAATAAAAAATGTATTTCGTATAAATGAAATAAGTTATTTGATTAAATGAAATAAGTAATTCGATTAAACAAAATAAGTAATTTGTTTAAACGAAATAAGTAATTTGTTTAAACGAAATAAGTAATTTGTTTTAAACGAAATAAGTAATTTGTTTTAAACGAAATAAGTAATTTGTTTTAACGAAATAAGTAATTTGTTTTAACGAAATAAGTAATTTGTTTTAAACGAAATAAGTAATTCATTTTAAACGAAACAAGTAATTCATTTTAAACGAATTAAGTAATTTGAAGGAAATAAGTAATTTGTTTTAAACGAAATAAGTAATTCTTTTTAAACGAAATATGTATTTCGTTTAATGAATTTCTTATTTTGTAATATCGAAATAACTAATTCATTAAAACGAAATATTTGATAAAAGTACGGAAAAGTGCGCCTAAGGGGCTCCAAACCATTGTATGTGTATCATTGACACTTATATTCCAGAGTATCGGTGCCAGTAGTAACAGTATGTTGGGTATACACGCCTCAGCTCAAGCTATCATACATTTTGGTAAAATAGCTAGGAAAAATGGACTTACTGGCGTATGTTTGGATACATTGAATAGGTTTGTTTTCATATTTTACATTTCAAAGGGAGGACATTATTGTCAGGATTCAGTATCATGTTTTGTGGAATGTTGGTGTGTCTGGGAGTGTCTACACTTTTTATACGCCCACACATAAGATGGGCGTATATTGTCGGCACCCCTGTCCGTCGGTCAGTCCGTCTGTCAACATTTGCTGGTAAACGCTCTAAAAACTAGAGTGTTTGATGGAATCAAATGAAATTCGGTATGTGTATACATATTAATAAAACACAGATCAAGTTCGAATTTGAGCTATTTTCGGCCGTTAGAAGCAGAGTTATTACACTTGCCCCAAAATCTTGAATATTTACCATCCGCATGCCGTCTAGTTTCACGTGTTGTGCGAGAATCAAGTCATGCTTACTCTTTTTGAAACACCTGATGGAACTTCTCTTTGGAGTAGCCCACAACTATACAACTTTTACTCTCAATTTTGCCATACTTTAGACAAAAATTTGATTACCGGTAATGCAATTGTCTTGCTTGTACGATTATCATTTTTTAACAGCAAGCCATTGCTGCTATCCTGGCAGATTTTTCCTTCATTGCACACTGCATCACATAGCCCGTTTTCATTGCATTTCGTTCTCCATTTCAGAATTCATACTATACCTAGTGTACCAATAGTGGATTGTTTCCAAAAAATTCGTCAACAAGTGAAATGTTATCTACAAATGGCCGGTGTAATGGGAAAGAGTGAATTACAAGAGGTTTGTCTTGAAACATTACACGTCTGCTAATTTTGATAGGAAAAAATACCTTGTCTTTGTCATTCTGACATGACACATTCCATTGTGCCAAGCGCAGTTTTCTCTTTCTATAAGCATCTATGTTAGACAGATTATGATTTCAGCATTTTTTGTTCAGCAAGGTCAAGAGCTAATGAAGGCAGCCATATTGAATATGAGCCCAGATGGTTTTGAGACTATTTTTAGATTCAGTCAATTTCAATGCATACCATTTGTATAGAAAATTGAGATTAATGGTGTCTCTCTGTTGTAATACCAGGAAGCTGCGGTGGCTCAGTGAGTTAGACGCTTGCTTGCTAACTTGAAGGTCCAGGGTTCAATCCCGGCATAGGTCGAGATAATACCTTCAGATTTTTCAACCCGGTTTCCCCCTGTCAGTGATACAGGTAAGAGGGGCTGACATGGAAAAAACGTCTAGTCGTTGGGATGGGACAATAAACTGAGGCCCCGTGTGCTACAGGCTGTGCACGTTAAAGATCCCTCGACAGTTGAAAAACGAAAAAGAGGAGGCTAATGCCACTGTCCTGGCAAAATTCCCTCATCGCACCCTGCATGGCGTTTTCCATCTTCATTAGCCCACATGGTGCAGAAAAGTAGGACTCCATTCATTTCATTGCACTGTTGTAATGCCACAATCTGCTAGCTAAGGGGACACGATAATTTCAAAATTCACATGTAGCTTAAAGTTAAAATATTGATAAATTGTGGGGTTTATTTTTACAGGGTTTAGAAGTTATAGAGTCAACCAATCTCAGATATTTCACTAAAGAAATGCAGGCTGAATTTTATGCTTTGAAAGGAATGTTTTTAGCTCAGATCAACAGGTCAGATGATGCTAATAAAGCGTTCTCTTCTGCTGTACAGATGCACGATACATTAGTCAGAGCCTGGGCTTTGTGGGGAGATTATTTAGAAAATATTTTCTCCAGAGACAAGTAAGTTTGATTCATATGCTGTATTGGTTAACTGTTCGGATGGGACAATAAACCGAGGCCCCGTGTGCTACAGGCTGTGCATGTTAAAGATCCCTCGAAAAAGCGTCTAGTTGTTCGGATGGGACAATAAACCGAGGCCCAGTGTCCTACAGGCTGTGCACGTTAAAGATCCCGCGACAGTTGGAAATCGAAAATGAGCAAGCTAATGCCGCTGTCAGTAGGACAATAGACCGAGGCCCCGTGTCCTACAGGCTGTGCATGTTAAAGATCCCGCGACAGTTTGCAATCGAAAATGAGCAGGCTAATGCCGCTGACAATAGGACAATAAACCGAGGCCCCGTGTGCTACAGGCACAGTTGGAAATGGAAAAAAGAGCAGGCTAATGCTGCTGTCCTGGCAAAATTTCCCTTATTGTACCCTGCATGGCGTTGCCCGTCTTCTTTAGCCCACATGGTGCAGAAAAGTAGGACGTAAAACTCCATTCATTTCATTTCATTTTTTTGTATTGGTTAACTCATGGATGGATTGAAAGTGGAAAATTTCCATATTAGAAATAGCATGTGATTTTAATGAAATAAATACTCTGGTCTATCTTGAGCGAACTCAAAGTTTCAATTTCTGCTTTCTGACTTTTCGGAATGAAAGTTTTAACGGATAAAGAGTCATAACTAGTGTTTGGAATGATGTCGCGCCCTGAATATGACGACAGTCCACATTTAATTTTGGTGTTAGATGGTGATGAGATCATAGTCTCATGAAAGCACTGGCCTAGGTCTCAAAGTAAAGATTTATGATAAAACATTATTATGTAGGAATATACAGCAAGGAGAGTATGCTATAACCTGCTATTTACATGCCTGTCGACACCAGAATGAAGGCAAATCCAGGAAGTATTTAGCCCGTGTATTGTGGTTGCTGACCTATGATGATGAAAAATTAACATTAGCTACTGCTGTAGATAAACACTGTGTTGGTGTACCCGCTATACAGTGGTTACCATGGTATGTATATTGACTCGTGCTTGATCGTTGAGTTCTGAATTGGTCAGTTTGTTCCAATTCTAGTCTCAATCGATCAGTACAGAATTTCTTTCTCCACCTATATTTTTTTCAATTCTGAGGAAGTATTCAAATTCTCCAGACCAGTGGCAGAGTTTTGCCCCCTTCGCAGCCTTTAAGCACGTTTTTCAGGCAAAAATCTCACAACAAGGTTAAAAATTCAGGCAATATCAGATATTCTCCCCCCCCCCCCCCCCTCTCGGACATAAACCTGGCTCCGCCACTGCACCAGATTTTAATATGCCAACCTAGATTATAACATATGACCACCATGTTTTGTTTGATGGAACCACCATTTCATCATTAAACTGACTGTCCTGGAGGAAAGAATGATAAAATGCATATTGACTTATATTATTGCATATAATGCTTGACTCATGATTTTTATACGCCCACAAGGAAATGTGGACGTATATTGCCGTCGCCCCCTGTCCGTTGTCTGTTTTTTCTGTCAGTCCGTCGCTCCGTCAACATTTCTTGTGAACACAATAGAGACTACAGTTTTCAACTGATTTTAATGAAATTTGGTGTGATCATTTACATTAATGAGATCTTGGCAAGTTTAGATTTGACGATCTTTCGTTGAACGGTTTTTGAGTTATTGCCCTTGACTTAGGAAAAACACGTCAAAATTGTTTGTGAAATGAGACTACAGTTTTCAAATGATTTTAATGAAATTTGGTGGTCAAGCTCGAAATTAACGATCTTTCGTTCAACGGTTTTTGAGTTATTGTCCTTGACTTAGAAAAAACGCGTTTGATCATTTCTGACAGCTGCCAGTGAGCGTATGTTACCGTGCCTGGCAAGCTATCTTTATGTTTTGTTTAAAACAGGATACCACAGTTACTAACATGTTTAGTAAGAAATGAAGGAAGGTTGATTATGAATTTATTAAGTCAAGTTGGTAGAATGTATCCACAAGCTGTTTATTTCCCAATAAGAACATTATATTTAACATTGAAGATTGAACAACGTGAACGATGTGAGTACATTGATTTGTTTCTCTAATAATCAGATCTTTGCATTGGGTCCTTCAAAGTTTGATGACGGTCCAGGGTTCAATCCCGGCATAGGTCCAGATGATACCTTTGGATTTTTCAACAATCAAAGAATACAGGACCTCAAATTTGGACAGGGAGTCGCGGTGGCTCAGTGTGTTAGACGCTTGCTCGCTAACCTGAAGGTCCAGGGTTCAATCCCGGCATAGGTCGAGATAATGCCTTCGGATTTTTCAACCCGGTTTCCCCCCGTCAGTGATGCAGGTGAGAGAGGCTGACATGGAAAAAGCGTCTAGTTGTTCGGATGGGACAATAAACCGAGGCCCCATGTGCTACAGGCTGTGCACGTTAAAGATCCCTCGACAGTTGGAAATCGAAAATGAGCAGGCTAATGCTGCTGTCCTGGCAAAATTTCACTCATTGCACCCTGCATGGCGTTGTCCGTCTTCATTAGTCCACATGGTACAATCAGGATCAGAAAAGTAAGTAAAGTAAAATAATTTTGTTCTATAATAGATAAGAGTGGTGGAAGTGAGTTATCAGTTGGTGGTACAGTAAGTCGCTCTTTATCAACTACCACTCTGTCTACTGAACCAACAACACCAGATCCTATTACACCTACAGCTACAACTGCAACATCAACAGCTTCAACAGCATCAACACCAACTACAGGTAAACAAGTTATCCTGAATTATAGATATTCTAATCTAAGTAATGGAAAGATTGGCTAAGCTCACAATTGCTCATAAAAACTCTCGCAGGTGCAGTTCTTGATGGATTTTGATGAAACTTGGTGTGAGTGTTTGCAATCACCCAAGGAAAAATTAGAAAAATCGAAAAATAAGTAGTATGAGTTATTGCCCTTGTTCTTCAAAATACGTTCAATTTTTAGCCTGTAAACACTCTCAAAGGTGCAATTATTGATGGATTTTGACCAAACTTTGTGTGGCTATCTTACGGTGAACTGTTTTTGAGTTATTGCCCTTGGCTTAGGAAGAACATGCCAAAATTTGTTTGTGAACACAATAGAGACTACAATTTTCATCCAATCATTAAATGAAATTTGGTGTGAATATTTATAATGATGAGATTAGACAAGTTCGAATTTGACGATCTTTCGATGATTGGTTTTTGAGTTATTGCCCTTGGTTTATGAAAAACGTGTCAAAATTTGTGTGTTAACACAATAGAGAGTATAATTTTCATCTGATTTATATGAAATTTGGTATGATCATTTATAATGATGAGATCTTAGTCAAGATTGACAGAACGCATCAAAATTTGTTAGCGATAGAGGTGACAGTTTATGTCAGAATTTTATTAAATAATATGTGTTTGTTTAAATCAACAATATCTTGCACAAATTAGATTTTTGGTATGATTTGACACAGATAGGTGACTGCCCTTGATATACTGAAAATGTATCAGGAAAGTGGGCGTATCTTGCTAACCAACCACTTGTTAATAATTTAACATGGTTTAAATTATTGATTCAGATGCAGCAAGTGGGAGTAAATCCAGTAATGTATCATCTGATGGTGGACCAATAAAAGCGCCAGCACCAATGTGGAGATGTAGTAAAATCATGCATATGCAGAGAGATATGCATCCCACAATATTGTCATCCTTAGAGGGCATAGTTGATCAGGTATTGGTGGTGGTGGTATTTTCTTTAAGGTGATACTAAGTCTTAGAATGAACATAAAATTTAAGTTCTCGAAATGGTCAATATGAGTATATATTCATCAGTGAACTTACCTGGTGTCATAAAGTTACAACAGAATCTCTGTAAAATCTAGAAAATTGGAAAATTCATAAAACTAAGTAATTATTGAAAAACGCTTAATCATAATATTAAGCGTTTTTCAATAGTTAATTGCATTTTTATTAAGTTTTTTGGATTTATCGGATTATATAAGGATCCTGTTATGTTATTTATGCCACCAGGTAAGTTCACTGATGAATATATACTCATATTGACCATTCTTGAGAATTAAATTTTATGTTCATTCTAAGACGTAGTATCCCTTTAAGTTTTCAGGACTCACTTGGAGTATTGGTCAAGATAGTTTTACCATCTGTGGATATTTCTACTCCGATTCTCCCCTGACAGGGATTTCTAATATGGAAAAATTTGTCTAGTGCTACAGGGTGTGCACATCCAGATCCAGCTGATGTCCAATTCCCATAAAAAAAATTCTTAGATAATATTTTAGAGTAGGCTACTCTGAGCAGCCCCTGTACTTGTCCTTTAAATGAATGGAGTTATACGTCCTACTTTTCTGCACCATGTGGGCTAATGAAGACAGGCAACGCTAGCTATACAGGGTGCAATGAGGGAAATTTTGCCAGGACAGCGGCATTAGTCTGCTCTTTTTCGATTTCCAACTGTCGAGGGATCTTTAACGTTCAGAGCCTGTAGCACACGGGGCCTCGGTTTATTGTCCCATCTGAACGACTAGACACTTTTTCCATGTCAGCCCCTCTTACCTGCATCACTGACTGGGGGAAACCAGGTTGAAAAAATCGGAAGGTATTATCTCGACCTATGTCGGGATTGAACCCTGGACCTTCAGGTTAATGAGCAAGCATCTAACTCACTGAGCCACTGCGTCTCCCTGTCCAAATTTGAGGTCCTGTATACTACGATTGTTACAAAAAAAAAACTGATTTGCAGATGGTGTGGTTCAGAGAAAATTGGTATGAAGAAGTTTTACGCCAGCTACGCCAAGGACTAGCCAAATGTCATGCTGTAGCTTTTGAAAACAGAACAGCAGGTATTTAGTTTTACTTTCAAACCTAACTCACATTTCATCCAATCAGCATTGACCAAATTTTTAAATGACTCATTTGATGGTTATGTGACAATTTGAATACTAGCTAGCATGAGGTTCAAAGTAAGTTATATCACATCATATCAATTTGTTCCCTCTGCAATTAAAATTTTACTTAAAGATGGGTTCCCTTATTTTCATTTATAAAAGTGAAAATGCTAATACTTATATGAATAGAAAGTAGTGGTGTTCTAATGACTTGGAAAAATACCAGTTTGTCTCACATGTCCATAATTGATTCATAATTAGCTAAATTAGAAGAGAATTACCAGCAGAATTCCAATGAGTGACCAATCAAGAAAGGTCAAAAAGTCTTTTTTGTTCATCCAGACTGTAACTCTTAATTATATGCAATAAGAACATAATGATATGATTAAGAATACATGATAATGTGACTTCATTCGTTGGACTACATTCTAGCAGACGACACTTGGAATTCCGAATAGAGCTTGGGATTATAAGGAAATTCGACCAATAAAAAATTGCAAAGTATGGTAATAACTGAAATCCGCCATTTTGCTTGAAACTACTGGATTCATTCTACTAGCTGACATTGTACAGAAAACCCATGTTTATCAAAACAAGCAAATTCGGAGGTCACGCGAGTTCGCACATGGAAATTATTAATCCTTTCTGGAAATGCACGAAAAATAGGTTAGCACGAAATTAGGTTACTTGACTGTATGAAGTGGAGTACTTATGTTTATTTTTGAAACATGTATTAACCCAAGTTTTGGTTGTTTTCAGTAACTGATGCTACTATTACACCTCACACGTTAAATTTTGTCAAGAAATTAGTCAGTACATTTGGTGTTGGCATCGAGAATGTTTCTAGTGTTTCCTCAACCTTCTCTAGTGCTGCTTCAGAATCACTAGCTCGTAGAGCTCAAGCAACCGCCCAGGATCCAGTCTTTCAAAAGATGAAAAGCCAGTTTACCACAGATTTTGATTTCAAGTGAGTTGATATTGGTATTACATTAGGCCATACAAAATAAATAGTCTGTTTTACAGGTCTAAAAATGCCTGATTGTTGCCTTAATATTAAATGTACATTAAATTTGTGGTAATAAATATTAAATGCTTTGGCTCGCTCCGATTTATTCCAGTTGAAAATCTAAAAAAGTGCTTATAAATAATAAATAATAAATTCGCCCTCTCACTCCGATTTTTAAAAAAAAAGGCCTGTAAAACAAGACTATTTATTTTATATGGCCTTATTATTAGTATGGTACAGTCAAGTAGTATACTATATTACCACTCAATATTATGGTGTCTGCATTTTGCAAACTTCTTGCTTTATTCATCCTGTCAGATTGCATATTACTTACAGTGACAGAGATTAACTGGAGGGTAAGAGAGGATATGATTATACATGCTTGCACACTTGATGTTTATTTATACGGTAAAAACACAAAACATATGGACAAAGATAATGGTAATAACAAAATTAGTGACTTCCGATTGTCTGTGACAATCGATTATCGGTCCTTGACAGTCCAGCGATGTTACTAATCGATTCTCAACTCAAAGTTGGCGACGTCGGCAAACAATGTAAAAAGTCAGTCATGTTGTTTTTATACGCCCACATGAAAGGGGGGGCGTATATTGCTGTCACCCATGTCCGTCAGTCGGTCCGTCCACAATTACTCGTAAACACTCTACAAGACACAATTCTTGACGGATTTTGACAAAACCTTGGTATGGTTGTTCATAATCACCCAAGGATGAACCCTATAAAATCAGAAAAATAAAAAATT